TGGTGTAAATTTAAGTATTTAGTATATATATATATTATTATATGATTTTGAGTTAGAAATTTAAATATATATTTTAATTTTTCATATTTACATGGATAACACAATTTTTTAACATCATATAAAAAATACTACTCTTATTTTTTAAAATGAAATACAACTTCCCATATATAATTTTATCACATCAAAATATTATTAATATATCAAAATAACTGTTGCCAACTTCTAGCTAAGCAGCCAGAGAAAAAACGCAAATACTGCAAAAATAGTAAATTTCTATAAAAAGTTGCGGCAAATGACCGCGCCGCACCTAAAAAGTCCTCCCAAACGAGCACCTAGTTAGCCAAGCGGAGCACGTCAAAAGTAATTTTGAGCTTGACAACCTTGAAGCTTTTCACAAACTAGTTTGAATTAATTTAATTTTGATTTAGAAAGCGATTTAAATTTTACTAAAGAAGTATGCTGTATCATAAACTTTTTGAAATAAACTTCCATGGGTAACCAACCAAGGCCCATCAGACCTTCACAAATATGGGACTTTGAAGGACTGAATTGAATGAGTTTAAATGCACTTGGTCAGCCCATGTGACACCCTATAACTTATCTTTCATTTTTATCACAATAAATGCAGTTAAAATATTTTTCTTGCGATTTGATGAATACCTTTTTTCAGGCCAACTTTTTGTATAAGAGAGTCCCTTTCAATGAGGATGAGCTTCAGAGCATGAAGTTGATGATTCAAACAAAAATTTATAGTTATCTTGGTATATTACTTGAGGGTCGTGAACACTTTGAAGAAGAGTATTTATCTGAGAAAAGGAAAAAACAATTTTATGAATCTTCTTCCATAGGTATGTGTCATGTTATCTTCTTTTTCAAGCTCTTTTTATAGATAAAAAGATTGCCGGAATTTAAAATTTCTTTTCTTTTTACTGATCAAGGATATACTGTTTATCTGTTATCCTTATGTTTTCTGAATGTAACTGTTTGATCACTCATTGTGCTTATGTTAATTTTTCAAATATGACTATTTATGCTGTTACAACTTTTGCATCTCATTATTGGTTACAATCATTTTTCTATAATTTTATTTTGATCACTCAAAAGATTCAATAATCATTAAAGCTGATTGGTCTGAAACAGTTTGTTGTTTAATTTTTCGACAAGTTTGTCCTAATTCTTGAAAGGGTTTGTTAGTTACCTTTTCCACTCCGTCCCATTCATGGTGTAACAAATATCATTTCCATTGGATAAAATGGTGCAGGTGTTGCTATCTGCAGCCTCAAATAAGCCTTACGATGTTATTAGATTTTGGCATGTGTAGGAGCTATGGTCTCTTAATGTTGTTAGAACAACGAAGGTGGCTGACAGTTTATTAATTAAGTGCATTGGGTTGCTATCCAGTGTTATGTCAAGTTTTGCTTGTTCTTTTTCTGATGTTAAAATCTTTTGGGAACGGTCTGTCATGTACTCCTGCAGTTTTATTGTTTAACGTATAGTTTGCTGCTATGCCCTTCCTATTATTAGTAAAACGATATTTTTATTAGGGGCAGGTTTTTTTTCTGTATTTAGCCTCTTCATATGTTAAGGATGCCTTTGTTTTTTGTTAAATCTTCTGCGGATGTTTTGTATTAGAGCTAAGTTTTACCTCGTTTATGGCAACCACAAGTTCATTGTTCTAAATACATCTGTAATAAATTGTGTTCTTCATGTATAAAAAATGAGAAAAATACTAGTTTAGAGTGAAATAATTTTTAATCATCCGATATGTGCTAGTACTGTTAATACATTTCATTACTTTTGCGTTATCTGAAACATGGTGCTCTTATTTAACCTTTTTAGATTAGCATTTGATACTGTTATTTCTTAATACCTGTTATTTCTTAATACCTGTTATTTTTGTTTTGCCTGATTTTCTAAGAAGAGAGGAGCTATGAATATATTTGTAGGAGCATCATTGTTCTTGTCAACCATGCCCAGTAATATTATCAAATAACCACAGTGGATATATTTTAGTACCGATGTAGTGTTTTGGAGGAATTTTGCATAAAAGCTTGTTGGTTTTATGTTAGTCTTAAGCAATGGCCTCTTAAACATGTCCATGGATTTAGAGCTTTGCATGGTTTTGAGGGTTTTTTTTATATAGTTTGAGAAGCTGGGGAAGCCTCTTTTCGTAAAGTGAAAGAATATGATACAAGAAACACGATTACAAAAGAAAATTTAACCGTTGGTTGAGAAATGTAAATAGCTAATAAAATAATGATCTAATAAGTTTTAGAGATTTGCGTTGTTTTTTCTTTAAGAGTATAGGCGTTTTGTTTCCATTACTGGAGTTCATAAAAAGTAGGCTTGAAATGAACACTTAGAGTCTTGTTTTTTTTCTCTATTTTCTTCCTTGATTGTATTTGAAAAGCATATGCAGTTTATTTCGTTCCCAATTTTCCAGAGATGGTATTGTACTGGACTTCTCTCTCTCTCTCTCTCTCACACACACACACACACACAATATATCACGACCCGGTTTGGGGCTTCAAATTAACTAAGGCAGATACAGACGGTCGGGTGGTGTGAAAGAAATTTTTTATATTCGTCTACAATTTAACATATGAAAGAACCAATACAAATTAAATTAAAATAATACAATTAAAATTACCTCTTTGATGTTGTCTTCGTTTTCTATAAATATTTTCTATTTTACTGTTCATCTTTTAATTATTTAAAATTTATCTGAAAAGTTAGATAAACAATTATGAGATAAACGAACCAGTGAATACTCATACTCATAAACTATAATAATACATGAGAGAAAGAAATAATATGCATGCCAGTTAAATTATTTAAATAAATCAATATAAACATTTGATGTTATTTAAAATAGTCTTACTTTACTAATAACATATCAACATCATTTTTGTACTTATAAAACCGTCACAAGAATCACCGTCTAAAAGTTGTGTCAATTAAGACATATTAATATCAATATCCTTTTCCATATACATGCACGGGTACTTTAGTGTTCCCCATCTAGTAATATCAAGAGGTGACTCCATCATAGTCAGTCATGCATATACAATCAGTCTACATAAACGTATCATTCATGTATTTGTATCATCAATTTAACATACTATATAAAACATACATCAAATGAATGAGAGTAACTACAACATTTATAGTGATATGACCAATAAAGAAAAAAATATTTCAATCAGAATAAAGCACACACAAGTTTCGTCAACTACAAAATATTTGAGAAGAGATTTTTATTTACTATAGATTAAAAGTATTACATTCACCTCGATGCAGGTCAAATTGCTAATTGGTTTGCCTTGACATCGATTCCCTTAATGGAAACCTAACATTAACTTGATATTAATAATATCAAAATTTAATTACTTTATTATTTTAATTAGTTGTTACTTTACGTTATTCATGTATACAATTTTATATTTTATTTTATGTAAGCCCGCTAAATTTTCTATTCAATATATATATACAATTAAAATTGAATAAATATTCTACCTTCTTCTTTGACCGAACCCTAACACGCAAAAGAGGTTCCGCAGGCGAGAGCTCTGGCTAGCTCAGTCCCCGCACGCCTTTTTCTTTCGCACGCTAAGCCATTCTACTCGATTTCTCGCACGAGCTGTCGCTGCGCCTTCTTCCTCCCTTTCTTTTCCTTCGGCTCGATCGATCGAGATTGAGAAGAATACGTAGCTTGAGGATCCTTGCCCGCACGAGCTCTCTACACCCTCTCTCTTTGCCCTAGCCACAGTCACCGTAGCCATGACATCACGAAAATTCTCTGCTTCTCTCGTCGACTCTCAAGTAAGTCGTTTGCGACTCTTTATAGATGATTTTCACCTCCTTGGCTTTGCGACACTTCTTGCTTCTCCTCCATTTATTTTCTTGACTCCTCTTTTCCTTTTCCTTCATTCTTCATTTATTTATCTGACTGCTCAACTCTTTGATTGATTTCCGCTTCCTTTGTTTCCTCTCCCTATGTAACTGAAAGGAGCTTTTACAATCTTCCCCGCTTACTGAAATATCGTCCTCAAATTTTAAAAAAAATGGATTACAAGTAATCTCATTAAGTCGGTCATCATTAGTTATCCATAATATTTATATCAGACTGTTTTTCTATAATTTTGAGTAAGTTATTTATCTGAATGGATGTATTTATAATTTTTTGTTAGCTTTAAATTTTATTTTTTATTATTAAAAATTTCTTACAATCATTATATTAGTTTTTCTTGATACTTCATTAATTAATTTTAAACCTTGTTTTCTGATATGACTTCTGTCACAATCGAGCCTGGGGCTTGAAATTAACCAATTTGGGTACAAAAGGTCGGACAATATGAATTAAGTTTTCCATATTCTTCCACAACTTAACAGATTAAAAAGTCACTACAAATTAAATTAAAGTTCAATTAAAATTACCTCGTTGATGGTTGTCTCTATATTCTATAAACATTTCTCTTCTACTATTCATCTTTTAATTACTTAAAATTTACTTGTAAATTTAGTTAAAATAATTGTGAGCTAAACGAGCCAGTGAATACTCATACTGATAAATTACAATAATACAAGAGAAAAATAATATGCATGCCAGTTAAATTGTTTAAATAAAATAATATACACATTTGATGCTATTCAAAGTAGTCTTACTTTTCGAATAACATTTCAATATCATTTCGTACTTAGGGTCTATTTGATGCAGCTATTGATTATTTATAATCTGCTGATAAGCAGATTATTCTGATAATCTGATAATGAGACTGTCATCTGCACTATCAACCTGGAAAAATATCGGATTCTCATTACTGTTGACAACAGTTTATTCATATTAGCTTATTGGTAGTTAAATGATATTCCTGCTTCTGTCTGATAAAACGGTTTGGGGCAGCTTATTCATAATAGCTTATTGGTAGTACAGAAGCATATAGTGCAGAAACATACAATCATCACAGATCAGTTCCAAAAGATAACATATAATTCTCACACTCTCATGAGTACCAGAAGAAATAAAAAAAGTACAAAGACAAGTACAACTACAATGAAAAATATTAAAATATTTAATTTGAAACTCTGGCTATGTCTGTCATCATCTGCACTATCAACAAATATCGGATTCTCATTGCTGTTGACAATGTAATATGTGAGACTGTCAGCCAACCGGAAGAAATCGCAACGAGCTGAAACACCATTGGCACTTCACCATCATGATCTCCAAATTCATTAGAGTCTATATCATTCTCAGGTAATGAATGTCCACCCACAATTCCTGGAGTTTGCTCGAAGACATTCAGTTCATTATTGTCAGTCATACTAAAGTTTGTATCTAATCGTGAGGAATGCCTTCAGATGAAGTTATGTAGTGCTATTGTTGCAACCACAATATGCACCTGTTTTTGGAAAGGATACGACGACATATCACGTAGGATGACTCAATTCTACTTTCAAACCTCAAATGTTCTTTCAATTACCCCGCGTAAAGATGAGTGACGTTTATTAAACATTTCCTTTCTGCCACGGACGGTCTCGACGGTGTCACTTGCTCTCTCGAAATCAGGAAGATGATATCTTGTGTCAGGATAGGGCTTTATTTATACCCTTTGCATAGGATATCCGACATCAACCAGATAATTTTTTCCTGGTACGAAAGACACTGTTAATTAAAAATATTACCTGCTCAGATATACAAATTACAAAGTAAAACTATCCTGATGGGGGGTGAGGGAAGCACTGCGATCTATTTCTAGTGACAAAGGAGAAAATTCGACTGTCATGTGCACTCCCTTCCCAACCTGTCACTACAAAAGTAAAACACATGTTGAAGTCGCATACAACC